GCCAATTATTATTGACTATATTATTTTGATAATAATTGCAAAATTGTATATTTTATGTGGACACTATAAAAGAACAACCTATAAACTATGGCTACACTTCAAAAACGATCTTCCTGATTCAGGTTTAAGGCAACGATTGTTAATTGTAGCCGAATTTGGCAACGCTTAAAAAACGACGTCTCAGAGGCCGCAAATAATCGTCCCCTATTCCTTTTCAATAGGCAACGCTCGCACAGGAGACGCCTAGAAAACGTCCCCTATTTGTTTAGGCAACGATTTTCAGAGTTCTGGCAACGCTTTTCAATTGTTGTTGGAGAGGCTAAATGTTGTAGTGGCGATAGAAGAAGAGATTATGAGAGAAGAAGCTGGGAGGTAGAAGAAGAGAGGATGAGAGAAGAAGTTGAGAGGAAGAAGAAGAGAGAGGTATTAAATGACATCATAATTAAGATTAACATTTTTAGTACATGTTTTACCTTTAGAATAAAAGTAATTGACTAATAAAAAAAAAGACTTAAATGGTCTTTTCAGAATATATTATTTTCTTAAATGATAGATATATTTTTTTTATAACTATAATCAGTTAAAATATATTAATTTCTTTTAAGTTTGTAAATTTTTTTATAAAAGAATATTATAATTTGAATATTCTAGTTATTTTTATTTTTCTTGAAAAAGATTTTTCAAAACTAAAAAATTCAAGTGATTGATGATTATAAAGTATTTGTCTTGGGTATGAACTGTACGTTCAAACAAATTTCTAAGTGAATGATTTTAAAAAATTTATGTGAAAAAAATTATAGCAAATATATATAACATGATTGTAACTATTTATTGGTAAATAATTTTCTCATGTATAATTTTTATCGTAAACTATAATTATTTTTTTAAAAAAATATTCATTTTTGGTGAAGATATTAAAAATAATATTAAATGTAAGTAAAAATTAGTGAAAATATTTGTCTCATTCATAAATGTATGTCCAATAATTTTTTTGGTGAATCAGTTCATAAAATATAATATGACAAAATTGAAGTGAGAAAAATTGCTGCTCTTTTTTATATATTTGTTTATTTTTATAATTTTATCAAATTATTTAATGTCAAATTTGTTATGTGTTCACACTTGTATGGTATATTGGTTTTTTAATGAGTCGTTTCTAAAAAAATCACGTGGAAAATTTATAATTAGTGTATTTTATAAATAAAAATTTGTAAATTATAATTATTTTTACTTTTTACTTTTTTGACAAAGAAAATATTTAAATAATTTTAAATTTAACTAATTTGTTAGTACCATGTCATTGTTCCGCATTTGAATTATATTTTCTAACAAATTATAAAGTAACTTGTATTTAGAAAAACAATTGAAAAAAATATGATTTAATTATAATGGTCGTAATATAATTGTTCCCGGTTTTTTGTTGATGATATTTAAAAAAAAAGTTTTTCTAAAATAATTTAATGATAAGTATTAATGTTGTATACACTTTCATACACTTAAACTTTTTTTAGTGAGTTATATTTTAATAAATAATGAATAAAAATTTTAATTAGTAAACAATAAATATTCTCATTTTTGACAACACTATTAAAAATAATTAATATTACTTAAATTTAACTACTTTAATAAACTATAAAATAGTTTTAATTAAAACATACTAAATAAAATTATTTTTATTTTTAATTTTGTTACAACAGAAAAAAAAATATGGTGAAGGAATTTCAAACAATGGAAAAATTATCCCTTTATATATAAGAACTAAAATAAATTTCTTTAATAAAAGTTGTGACAATTTTCAAATATATGCCATGTCAAAAGGTTAAAGTCATTAGAAAAGAATAAAAAATATTTTTTTATTATCGATATAGTCCAGTTTAAGAATCAACTTTAATCACTACTGAATTAATTAACGATTAATAAAAATAAAAATAAAATAAATAATAATAATAATAATTTTAATAGTAATTAACTTTCTCATGTCTATAGGAGATACTAATAGTTTATGAAGACTTTGGACATTGATTTTAAGATCTCTCATCACTAAGATCCACACAATCAAATAGTAGGATTGGTGCAATTAAATATTTTAATTAGTAATATAATTATGTTAGTTGTTATTTTTAAATGTTATTAAATTGAGTCATTTAATAGAGTTTGAGCCTTATAATTAATTATCCATTGAGAGTTATATATATATATATATATATATATATATATATATATATATATATATATATATATATATATATATATATATATATATATATATATATATATATATATATATATATATATATATATATATATATATATATATATATATATATATATATATATATATATATATATATATATATATATATATATATATATATATATATATATATATATATATATATATATATATATATATATATATATATATATATATATATATATATATATATATATATATAGTGTCTATGACATATTAGAGGATGTGAAATGAAATTATAATGTCCTTAATTTTTAATAGTTAGTTTTCTTTGTCTTCTCTAGTGTAGAATTTTAGGATTTTCTTAGTCTTGATAGGGTTCGTGTTTTAGCTCTCTATCAATTGGTACTTTCATCTTGATCTTCAATCCTTGCTTATATGGCATATTCATATTCTCATTGCTACATCTCATACATCCATACATTTCATATCAACCACAACCACATATAATTTCTATTTCACCTCAACAATCATCTTCCACCTTCCATGAACATTCAAGTTACCATAACTATCAACCTCAATCTCAAGATTTATATTCACAACTAGAAACTCTCAAACAATACTTGATTGAAACTCATGAAATCGAAAACAAATCTATAGAAGAGATGAAGGAACTGATTCAAAAATTTGGTGACTCTCTCAAAGCAACATAAGGAAGGTTTGCATTTGGAATTTGTTCTCATTATTAGCTATGAAGGTCACTGCATTATTGGAAGCAAACTCTATGTTCTTGCAGCAACACATGGGAGTAATATTCATGCAAGTAAGTTGTTTGAGAGACTTATTTATAAAGATGGTATGATGTGGTCAAGTGTATTTAAAAATTGTGCTTTCTTCCGCATAATTACTTTGGGTTCCTACTGCTTCATACACTCTTTGTGTTTTGCTTGCCTAGTATTTACTTTTCAAAGTCATCATACATGCCATGATGTGAAACTCGTGAGTACTATCACATTTCCTCATGTTCAGGGTTCTCTTCAGATACCCAATGATACACAAGGAACAAAGATTAGACAACAAGCATCACAATTCTATGGTATCCCAATCCAATTAATAGAGAAGCTTCAAGCTACTTTAAATATACATGTGCTTCAGCCTAGTAGTGAAATAGTTTTACCAAAGGAGGACCTGAAGGCGTCAAATCAGGTCTATGGAGATGCAAATTCTTTTGTAAAGCAAGCCAATAATTTGTTGGCCCGCATACCTGTTCCACCCGCATTTGCATCAGAGTTTCCTACTAAGGAGTTTGCTATTGAGATGCATTCTGCAACCGCGTCTTCCTGTTCAACACATATAACTGCAGGTATGAGTATGATCAGCATTACAAACATTACTTTTGGAGGCAATATGATGGATTGGATGGTGGGCAAGAATGAAGGTTTTCACACCATTATGTCTTATGGGTTTTCCCAAACTGAGTTAACTCTGCAACTCGGGTGCTTACTTTTGGCTTGGTGTGTAGCAAAACTGCATTTATATTTGTTATAGTTAATGGTAACAACATTATTGGTTGGACTTTGTTTGTTATGAATGTTCTGTTAAGCAATGAGATCCGAGAGTAATTTTAGAACTTTGAGGATAAGGTTCAATGTGAACCGGACGACAATGATAGGAGGTGCAATTAGATATTTTAAGTATTAATATAATTATGTTAGTTGTTACCTTTAAATATTGTTGAATTGAACCTTTAATAGAGTTTGAGCTTTATAGTTAATTATCCATTGAGAGTTTTATATATGTAGTGTATATGACACATTAGAGGATATGAAAGAAACTAAAAATATCTTTAATTTTTAATAGCTAATTTTCTTTGTCTTCTTTAGTGTAGAATTTTAGGATTTTCTTAGTCTTGATAGGGTTCATATTTTAGCTCTCTATCGATTGTCTTCTAGAAAGCATGTAATAATAACCAATAAGAATATTCAGGGCATTTATGAAAGGTGAATGCCAAATTTAACACTAACCTACTCTTTAGTCTTCATTGTCTATCTATCATACTCTTCATTATTCTTTCCGTTTAAAAATGAACGTCGTTTAAATTTTTTATACATAGATTAAAGAATGCAATTATATCGTTATAAGATATTGCACTTTTATTAAATTAGTCTTATTAATTTATTGAAAGTAATATACAAAGTAATAATTATAAATTACAATTGAAAAAATAGTTATCATTATTATATTGAAAAACGAGAATAACATTCATTTTTAAATAATTTTTTTTAAAACGACACTCATTTAAAACAGATAAAGTAATAACTAAACCACATAAAATAAAACAACCCACGGGAATCTTATTCATCAATTTTAAATTTTCCATGAGATGATATCTAAAATCTAAAATTTCAAAGCACACAAAAGTCACAAAAACAGGACCCACATCAAAGGGATAGGTGGATGAGCCAGCTAGCACATACAAAGAATAATAAAACGGGTTTAAATTGGATGATTTATATTTAATATTCAATATTTCACTATAAAGTAAATTAAAAACTGTATTAAAATCAGGATCGTATAATTTTGATCTAACGATTGAAAATTTAGTATTATTTCTCACATATACAAATCTTAGTCACCAAGTTTCGATTTTTACAACTATTTCTAAAATCTTAGTCACCAAGCTGATACATTTAAACGCATACGTTTATTTATTTGAAATATTTAAAATAATAAAAGTATAAAACCCCATCACTCTCCTCTCCAAGCTAGTACAAAGTTATACTAGTATTTCTATAAGGAGAGAGTGATGAAGAGAGAGGAAACAGAGGCATGGCGCAAACCCAAGAATGGGAGTGTCTTTCCTGCAAAGAAACGTTCTGTGAAGAAAATGATATGGAATCAATTTGTTGATTCCATGAAGGGTTCAAGTTCCATGGCGGTTTCACCACCTCCTCCTCAGTCCTCAAAGTCTAATAGTAATGTACACCCTTGTTCTACATCATCCTGATTCTTCTATACTTTCCATTTCTCTATTACTTTCTATCATTTTATTTATTTATTTTCATCATTAAATGTACTTTATATTGTTGCTTTTGTTTTTGTATTCTTACATATCAATCAATCACATATGTATATATACGATGATCTTCCATTAGTATTTAATGAAATTATTGTTAAAATCATTATGCTACTTTCTAGTTCGAGTAAAATACAGGGGAAGGTGTGTTCTGATGGCAATAAGAAATCATGAAGATATATAGATATTGAGGCAGTCTATGTTTCATCCATCTTCACTCTGCTTATTAGAGAGAGAATGGTTAGAAAGGGATATACTAGTTATGTTATTTGGACGCATTCAATTTTGGAAACCGTGTCTTAGAGATAAAATGTTTGTTAAATATTCCCTCCTTTTCGTACAAAATGTACTTGGACATGTTTTTAACTTTAAGTAAATGTTTTACAAATATTTAAAAATGATTATTAATACAAGCTGTTTAATCTTGTTTTTTTTACAACTTAAAACTTAACTTATATCATTAATAATAATTAATTGGGTATATATTGATATATCAATGAAATTATGAAAATTAGTATAAGATGAAGTCATTCGTGCTAAAGCATTAACAACTTTATTGGCTTGTCTTCTAGCGAATTTAACATGAGAGTTCGTAAAATAGTTATTTAGCAAGCGTTTACATTCACGCGTAATATATCTAAAATCTGTGACATTAGGATAATCACCATTCACATTATCCACCACCTTTTTAACATCCATCTCAAAATCCATATTATCAAGACTGAGCTCATGAACCCACTTAATAGACACTAAAAGTCCTAATGCTTCTCCAACCGCTACCTCCGTAGATGGGGAATACCATTCCGTACGAGCAGTGATAAGAGAACATTCTTCGTCTCTAATACAAGAATCTAAACCAACTTTGTTACTAGAGAAAGAAGTGTCAATGTTACACTTTAATCGCCCCATCGACGATTTTTTCCACGTTGTATCGCTTGATATATGAGGATGAGATCTTTTGTTGATCTTTAACTTTTGAGTATTTTTCCATCCTAACAGGAGATGCATAGCACGACTTTTGATAGTATCTTGAGAATCAACAATCTGATTCCAAATATAATTCTTCATGCATTTCCATAAGCTCCATAATATATAGTAGAAAAGACTAGCTTGTTAGTCTTGATTAGCAACCTGTAAAAAAGAAAATATAAAAGACGCAAATTGGACATGAGCAGGACTGATGTTGTTGTAACAACTCCCAAAGATCCATTTTCTCCCAACACTCCTTGCTTTTAGCACAATGGAGAAATAATTGAATATTACTTACTTCCTCTTCCCCACAGACTCCATAGTTAGAAGAACACTCAACTCCTTTTTCAGTAAGACGCTTTCTAGCAGGTACACAATTTTAGCAAAGCGGCCACATGAAATTTTTAACTTTTGGTGGCGTCTTTAAATTCCAAATCAGATCCCAATTCTCTTCAATCCTCATATGGGAAGTATCAATAGCTTCATTTATACAATAACGATAAGCGCTACGCACTGAGTATTTACCGAACCTGCTAAACTTTCAAATCATTCTATCATCTTGAACCGGTTCAAACCAAAGGAGCTCTACATACATTATTTGCTATAACTTCTCCCTACTAAGGCAACAATCAGATTATGATTCCACTGCTTACTTTTATTTGTCATCAAATTCGACACTTTCAGCCCGGACACCTCTGAGACATTCAGCCAAGGACACCTCTGAAACTTGGATTATGACCAATATTAGAATCAAGAAAACCACTATTGGGGAAGTATCTAGCTTTATATAATCGGGAAACTAAATTATTCGGGTTTGACATAATGTTCCAAGCTTGTTTGCCATGAATAACGTAGTTAAAAGCGCTTAAATTTTTGAAAACCCATACCTCCATCTTTCTTTGACATATATAAACAATCCCAATACAACCAACAAATACCTTTAGAGCTATCACAGTTATGCTCCCACCAAAAGCATTCATACATTTTCTCGATCTCATCACTTAGGGATGTCGGAAGCAAACAATACTCATAATGTATGAAGAAATAGCTTGAAGAACATATTTGATGAGGATTTTCCGTCTCGCTTGAGAAAGACTTCTACAACTCCGAGAATTGATTTACTTTAAACTTTATCTTTTATGTACTTAAAAGTAGCTTTCCTACTTCTACTAATCATGGAAGGAACACCGAGATACATTCTGGTCCCTAGCACCTATTGAACACCAAGAATCTCGGCCAAAGAATTTTTGAGCTCCTGATTCACATTTCTACTACAGTGGAAACTCCGATGTTTGAAGGTTGATATCCTGACCAGAAGCTTCTTCGTAAGTAGCTAAGATAGTCGTCAATGCAGTAGCTTCGTTAAGTGGATGCTTTGAAGAAAAAAAACAGATCATCGGCAAAAAGCAAGTGGGGTATAATTGGGGCATTCTTAGAGATTTTGACACCCCTGATATCACCTCTTTGCTTCAGACTGTTTAATAAGAGTTGTTTAAACCTCCGAAACAAAGAATAAATAGGTACGGAGATAGGGAGTCCCCCTATCTTAATCCCCTTCCTGGAATGACAGGACCGCCAAATTTACCATTAACATTCACATAGTAGTCGATTGTTTCCACACAAAGCATGATCCACCCAACCCATTTTTTATTGAAACCCATAATGATAAGAAATTCTCTTAAGTAATCCCTATCAATCTTGTCATACGCATTACTAATATCAAATTTGAGAGCAACATCTACAATCTTACCTCTGGTTTTAGTCTTCATATAATGGACCACCTCAATTGCCACCATTGCGTTATCTAAGATGGATCTCTCAGGAACGAAAGCTGTTTGATTGTCCTGAAATACACTTGGATAACACCTTCTTAAGTCGATTAGCCAGAACATTGGCAATCACCTTATAAAGAACATTACACAAAACAATAGGTCCTCAGTCCTTCATAGATGTTTGAACCTCACCTTTAGAAATGAGAGTGATGTTTGTCTTATTGAGGTTAGGAGGAAAGCTGACATTCTCTAACCAGGAACAGCCAGCATTGAAGATCTCCAACCCACAATTATTCCAAAAATGTTGATAAAAACTTGGATTGTACCCATCTGGATTGGGACTTTAATCTACATGCATGGAAAAAATAGAATTTTTAAATTCCTCAATGACAAACGGGAACGTCAACATGTTGTTATCTTCCTCTAATATGGACGAGCTGAGAGACTGCATAACTTTTTTCCCGAGCACTTGGATTTTTATAAAAGAGATCCGTGAAATAGTCGTATTCGACAGCGAGGTAACTACCACATCACTATTGGTAAGAGATTTGATGGTATTGACTTTCTTTCTGGTAGTTGCTGAAATGTGAAAAAACGGGGTGTTTAGATCAACGTCTTTGTACCAGTGAACTTTAGCCCGTTGTTTCCAATACAAATCATCGTTCAGTAGAAGCAAATTCAATCATTTTTTAAGGGCTATGAAATAGTTAACATTTCCTTCACCGAAGTACAGTCGAACTCTATCAATCTTCAAGTGAATCCTCTCAATGTCCTTACTGACCTTGTTATAGTGCTCTCTGCTCCACTTTAGCATTTGTTCTCTATAAAATTCCAGTTTTCCTATAATGGGCTCCGATTCGGTGTGGTGCCACTGCTCAACCATGAAATTTCCAAATCCTGGTTCTTTTAACCACGCATTCGAACCTGAAAACTTTTTGAGTCCTGTTATGTACCGGTTTGATATCACACTGTAACAATATCGGATAATGATCGAAAGTGGTTTCCGTTAAACATTTCGCCTTAGCGTTCGGAAATAAGGAACACCAACCATTATTTGACATAGCTCTATCTAGTTTTTCTTCGATCGCGCTGTCAATACCTAGACTCTTAAACCAAGTAAAAAATATTCTTCCAATGGAATATTTACCAGCCTTGCATCCTGTACTGCATTTCTGAATCCATTGATCAACCAATTTAGTCTATCTACTCTCCCTTTTTTTTTTTCTTCAGAGGAGAGAATATCATTGAAATCTCTCAAAATACACCACAGAAGATTGGAACAATCCGCGAGGTTACGAATTAGATTCCACAAACTTCTCATGTTTGAGATTTTTGGATGTCCGTAAAACCCAATTAATCTTCAATTGCCATTATTTGAATTGTTCACAACAATATCAATATGTTTCCGATAATTGTTTTGAATCACACACTCTGAGTTACAAATTAACTACAACATAAATTCAACAATAATATATTTTTTGTTGAATCCAATAATATATTTTGAGTTACAAATTACTACAACTTAAATTCAATATAAACCAAAAATTACAAAAAAATTAATTCTAACATAAATTTAATAGTCTATTAAATGGTCTATCAATAGCCTTAAACATAAATCAAAATAACTACAACATAAATTCAACATCAATTTAAATTCAAATTACAACTTAAATAGTAGTAACATTATCAACTACTATCAATAGTCTTCCATGGAAACACGACATTCATTCTCTGCAGCATAAAAATGAAGAATCATAAGTTAAAAAATAAGTGATTTTCACTATATCTTTCAAGCATGTATACTTGGATAGTATAATATATAAAGAGTGAGAAAAATATTTATCAAGCATGTATACTTGGAATGCATATGCATCAGCAGTTTTGTAACTTGCATTCAAAGGATAATTACTAGGACAAGTGGAGATTATAGCAGGCCACACCTATTTTCAAGAGGTAATTGTTTTAGTTACAAACATGTGCTTGATAGCATATAATCAATTTTAAGGATAAGAGAAGTAGCCCAGACCTGTGAGTCGTTATCAATTACATGTGGAACTTCAAGACTAGTTTCAAACTTAACTCCAAGTTTAGAAGAAAATGATGCCATTAGAGACGGTGTCCTAAAATACCCAAATCATAAAGTCAATGATACTAAATATGTCCTAAAATACCATCATGCCAAGTGTCGCA